TTAGGTTATTACGTATTAAAATTGGAATTGGATTTATGATAGATTCTACAGAATCGAAACATTAAAAGTCAGAATTTACCATAATCACGAAAGCGGGAAAAGCCGGAAGTTATACAGTTCTATACAAATTGTATTCCACCAAAAGCTCTCACGAGGTCGCATTTCTGCCTTATTCTTCACCACCACGGAATGAGATTTTTCCCTCGTCACACGAGCTATTGTTTCTCTTTAACTGCTATGGAATCCCGAAAAGCACCTGACTAGCAGATTGTTCTGAGATTTTTGCACCGTTTTCTGTCTGGATTTCTCTTTCGAGGTGAAACTGGTGAAAGGTACTTAGATCTCACTCCCATCGCATCATAGAAGACAAAGTCAGCTACCTGGTGCGCAAGACGTCCATTGCATCAATTTCGGGAATACCAGTTGCCGTATGGAAGACATTCGGACAACGAGGCACATTTGTACTTCAACGGCATTTACGAACAATTTTGTGATTTGCTCTTCCGTCATAACCAGTTGCTGCTCCACTCCAAACTTGAACGTGATTATTGGTTGTCCTGCACATTTTTCGACGAATGTTACAACGTCTCCAATGGCTTCTAACTCGCTACAAACTGAAATTCGAATAGGTTGTTCAAAAGGACTCGCTTCAGTTTGATCTATGTTGAAAAACCATACTTGAAAAGTTGTTCTCTATTTGGCACATTGGGCAGACTTGCTGGAGCTGTTGGACAATCATAGATGAGAGCTGTGCGTTTCTGTCGATGATAATTACATTTTCGTTAACTGGGATGACAACAGTTGTGGGAATTTCCACTATCGTTAAATAAGGGTTGTTGATGATTTCGATTGCTGGTCTTCCTGCAGAAATATGTTCATAAATTTATAATTTTCTGGGTTAGGAATGCTCTTGAAATCGGAATTTCAGGGAAATTGTAGTCTTACTTCAAGAGCGACTATTAATATGTTTGCCTGAAATAAGTAATCGGATGTTCTCGGGGTCTGGTACCTTCTCCCCGAACGGCGTGCCGCAGGCGGTCGCGCGTTGTGAAGGGAAAAATTCGAATACCCAGTGGAAGGATACGGATATTCGCCGCGGAACCACTGCCGCAAGCAGCGGGAATTTGGGGAGAAGTCCCGTCACCCGGATGTTTTCAGTTATACAACCCTTTGACATCATTGATCATGTTTTCTTTTCTCATGCATGGCAAATACAGCTAGTAAAAATGCTGAAAAAGTGGACTATTTCTATTCAATCTACACATGCGAGTACTATAAACGTACCAGGTTGACAAGGCACCAGCTTTTGTAGATAAGGGCACCTCAGGCTGGTGTACATGGAGTTAGTGATCAGGATACATGCTTGCATGTAAATAACATTGGCACAAAATGCGTTCATCTCAGCCTGAGTGACTTCAG